GACTCCTGAGTACCAGTACGTTGAGGCAGCAATGCGAGTGTCCAGGCAGCCCTTTTTAGGGATAGCACTGCCTGCCCTTGTAAGGGAAGCCCCTAGAAAAGGTGGGGTAAAGAAAGCATACTCAGGTCAGCGGGACTTCGCTTGATGCGGTAGAAACTCCAAATAAAAAAAGAAGAGGATAACTGTTGCAACATGGAATGTGCGTACCATGCTTGATAAAAATGATCGACTTGAACGAAGATCTGCCCTGATTGCAAGGGAACTGCAGCTGTCCTGCATTGACATTGCAGCCCTTCAAGAAACGCGTCTTGATGCACAGGGTTAACTCCAAGAAGCCGAATACACCTTCTTCTGGGTTGGGAAGACCACTGGACCCAGAGAAGCCGGAGTTGCTTTTGCGTTTCACAACACGATTGCCAAGAAGTTAACAACACTTCCTACTGGGATCTCACCCAGACTTATGTCCATGAGAATACCTATTGAGCGAGGACGTTATTTGTCTCTAGTGAATGTGTATGCACCCAAGATGACCTACACAGTTGATGAGAAGGAGGCCTTTTACCAAGAACTCACTGATGTAGTGCTTAAGGTCCCCAGAGAAGACAAGCTCCTTATACTAGGAGACTTCAACGCTAGAGTTGGGGCTGACTGGAAAACCTACTTGGGTGTCATTGGCAAATTTGGGAATGTGAAAAAGAACTCTAATGGGGAGCTTCTGCTAAATCTCTGTGGACAACTAGATCTCAGCATAACCACCACTTTTTTCTTCCAACCTGACAAAAACTATTTCACCTGGAAACACCCACGCTCAGGTCACTACCGGGGTATTATCTGCTTGCTTATGTCATCATGAGAAAGTCAGATATGGTCGACGTACTATGTACAAAAGCAAAACGCGGACCAGAATGTGCTACAGACCACTATCTTGTTAGCTGCCAACTTAGAATGAGAATCAATCTGCCACGGAGAAAAACTCCCACAAGTGCTAAACCTAGGAAACTGGACATAAATAAGCTGTCAGATGTGAAGAACCACCAAGAAGTGACCAGAGCCTTAGCTTCGTCATCTTCGTGCATTCCTCAATATCAAGTGGCAAGACCATATTCCTGGTGTTGAAGTACCACGACGTGCTCACACAGTCAGTGCTGAAGCCCTGATAACTGTGTCACATCACCGTTGAGCTGGACATGTCTGTCGGATGACAAATGACAGACTGCCAAAAGCTGTACTATACTCTGAACTATACCAAGGAAAAAGGAGCCATGGTGGACAGACTCTCTTCAAGGATGTTATAAAGCACCATATGAAGAGAGCTGGCATCCCACAAGACACCTGGGAGGCAGAGGCTCTCCAGAGAGAACAATGGCATGCTCTACTTAAAAAGACCCTGTCAGCTGTTGAAGATCAGCGCCAGCAAGAATACCAACATGCACATGATCGTCGCCACTCACCAGCCAGACCATGCAACTTCCAATGCAACAGATGTCAGCGCTTCTGCAAATCCCATGCTGGATTTTCAATCTCATTTTGTTCAATATTTTCAAAATCCATCAAATATTCGTGGTCTGATTCACTGAGATCAAGTGAAGCTGGTAGGGGGGGTCAAGTTGTCATGGTTGATAGTGGCTTCATAGGGAGATGGTGTTGTTTCCACATCAGTGTCCCCCCTGGGTAGAAACTCCAGAGGACCCTTTGGGGAGAGGCTGGGCAACAAAGGTGGCTGAGATCTGCCTCTAATGGTGCTTTCCCAGAGATTTAGATCGATCTAAAGATTAAAATTTAGATCGACCTAACTCCCTGGGGGTTCCCGCTCAATTACAGTCAGCTGACGGGCACCATAGTTAATTACCCCCTTACAGCTTGTAGTAGGTGGGACAGACGATTAAGCTTGCCAAGCTGACAGTAATCTAGTGAGACTCCCCACAGGGATAGATCAATCTAAAAATCTATGGGAATGGGGTGTAAGTTCTTCATTTTTGTTTGCTCTGTCTCCTCAACAAGTAATTTGATATTCGGAAAATCATTTTCTACAAAGTCCATAAACTTGGCACCATTTGCCACAATAATTCCTTTGTTGGTGTAAAAGCTCAGCACAGTATATGTAATTTCAGTTCCATCTTCCTTTGTGGTCTGCATCTTTAGGTGAAAGCCTCCATCTGTTTTCTGGTATACTGGGTGTGAAGACAACTCTTTGTTTTCAAACTTTCTTTGGAAATAAATTTTGGCAGTATTTTCCCCACTGTGTCAGTCTTGTAGTATGGAATCATGCATTGCAAATAATGTCCTCTTCAAATTCAATATTTTCAGAATTGCATCTAACTTGTCTGCCAAAGTATATAGATTCAGGGTTTTTGGAGCATAAGTTTATGTACATGCAGTCTTCTTCTTGTTTCCTGGAGATTTTGGCATTTGCACTGGTGATGATGGTTAATCATAAACAAAGTCAGGGTTTTGCTTAGATTTCTCTTCACGTTTAGGACGGCTGTTAAATCACTTTTTTTGCCAATAATTTCTTTTGGAATATATAAGCTGCTTTTCTTAAGGTTAAATAGGAGTTCCTTTGCAGTTGAAGAGGTCTATTACTAGACTTTTTGATACACTGCAACCAGCTTAAAATAATTCTTCAAAGTATGAGGGCTGCCATCTTGTTTTTCCAGAACAAAGTGAGTGAAAGACACCAGTTTTAGTCACTTTTGTCACAATACAGCAAACTGCAGCTGATTGTTTTTACATGTGGATTCCTGATATGCTTATAGTTTTTTTTTTTAGTCATGAAAATATTTAATAAAGTTCTCTATATTGTTACCTTTTTGATGTATGTGTAGAGCTTTTCCACTGCTCAAATAGGTCAGCTTCACTTTCCTGATCTCCTGCATCATTATTAGCAGTTTTTTCTCCAGGCAAAGGTTGCATAGGTATTGATTTCTCCTTTGTAGTACAGGTTTTTTTTATGACTTTCCACCTAATGTCGTACTGAATGTTACTTTCTTTTAATTTCCAAGTATATTTAGATAGCTCAGTTTCTACAGTATTTTTTTTCTGCCCCTTAATGACTTGGTGTGGTTATATATATATTACATATATATATTACACAATTAAAAACTTCTGGTTATTATGCTGTTAATCATAATGTGTTATTGCAAAATTGAGAAAAAACTGGAGTGCCACCACAAATTCTATAAAAGGAAAACCGTTGGTTAATTATTTTCTAACTCTAAAGAATGATTCTTAGGATTGCCATACAGCTCAGAATGTGTTCAGCTCAGCTTGATAGATTATTTTTCTTGAACTATATGCAGTTTTTGTGAAAATTTTAATTTTGTCATTCTGGCCTTTTTTTATGTTTGAATTTGAACTCTTATGGGGGCTGAAGCCCTATTCTAGTTTCATATTCTTAATATCTCTGTTACCTTATGTATATAAAACCATTATTAAAATTGACAAAATTACCCTTTTTTTTTGCTTTTATCTGGTAATTTGAAAGCTTTACTCGCTTCTTTAACCATCATAACAGTAAATGATAAAAATTAAGTCTTAAAAGAAAAAAAAGAACCATTTTCTCTTCTTCCACTCCAGGCCACCACCTCCCAGTCATGGACAACATCCTAGGTATTGGACAGGTCTGCGTGTGAGCTTTATTTCTGGTTTACCTTATTGGCAGGACTACACTGGAACTAAGTCACCAGTAACGTACAGCAACATGTGCCCTACTTGTGTTCACGCTGGTGACTGTTTCTATTTAGATAGCAGTGTCTCCTTCCAGTGGATAAGGGATGACTGTGAACAATATATCTTTTATATATGTGAAAAAACAGGTGGGGTTCAAATTGAAATTTGATTATTATTTGAAATATATTAAAATTGTCATCCATTTTTCTTCTACCATCAGTCTGTTTTGCATGTATTTGCCCTGATGTTTAGATTTTTTTCCTAGGGCTACATGTAAATATTATCATATTTTAGCTAAGGGGCTGTGTATTTTTGTAATCATTTTCACAAGTCTAGACATTTTGTAGACTCCTCGCCCCCCCCCCCCCATCCCCCCGGCAACCACCACCACCACCACCACCGCATCAGAGAGTTACAAGGTGAAAAGTTAAAAAATGCTATAACCTTTGTCAACACACCCCTGGTGATGAAGATCATGATTTTAATTATTTTTTCCAAATGCTTATACAGAGGGAATTTCACCTCCCCCCCACCCCAACCCCCAGTGTAAGGTTGTAGACTTTTGAAAGTTGTGATTAAAATGGATGACCCCTTAGTATTCAAATATTTCTGACTTTTGAAAGAATTTACTTTATGGATATTACCACTCCTACTACAGTATCAGGTGTATTCAATAAAACTGGCTGTGTTGGCAGCAGATTGCTTTGTAATTATTTGTATATAGACATCTATTCTATTGCTGTTTATGTGATTTTAGCTCCAACAGGTTGTGAATTTCCCAGCACTCCTCCAAATACTCTGGAATCACTGGGCTGGAACGTGGTAGGAGACGTAATAAATTACACCTGCCAAACAGGTTACACACTGATATCTGGGGACCTGACAAGGACCTGTCTAACTGATGGAAATTGGAGCGGCTCACCCCCTATCTGCGACTGTAAGAATATGATGGAAAACTCCTCCTTTTTTCATAGCACTTTATGTCTGCCAATATAATGTTACATGTGCAAGATTCATTATTTTGAAATAATATCCATAGTTCAAACATCTGAGAACCATCATATTGAAGGTATGAGTAGTGAAGAATAGTTTTTGGAAATTTGATTGATCACTTTTGACCAAGTATTATACATTTCTCCATCCAGTTGGAGGAAGCTGGCTGGCCTGGGGAGCCTGGAGCAGCTGCTCATTGACCTGTGGTACAGGAACCTCCTTTAGAAATCGTACTTGTCATGATCCAAATCTACCCAGTGAACTGGCGCTATGTGCAGGTGGAGCCACCAACTCTACCCAGACACTGTCCTGCTTTGAACAACACTGTCCAGGTAATTATATTCCACCCAGACACTGTCCTGCTTTGAACAATACTGTCCAGGTAATTATATTCCACCCAGACACTGTCCTGCTTTGACCAATACTGTCCAGGTAATTATATTCCACCCAGACACTGTCCTGCTTTGAACAACACTGTCCAGGTAATTATATTCCACCCAGACGCTGTTCTGCTTTGACCAATACTGTCCAGGGCCCGGTTTCATCAAGGCTGGATAGGCTATCCACGAAGCTGAGGAAAATGTCTCACGTGTTTGATATTTTTGGCCTCTTGAGGCAAATGGCTCAGCGTGTGTGGGGTGCAAGCGCCGATTGCTCAAATCATACCAACAATGTGCATGTGCCGGTAGCCGGAAACAAACAAAAATGGCAGCCCCCAGCGAAGTCAACAAAAATGTACACAGTTATAGTTAGTCTGATTGATTAACGTGGTCACCATTTTCCATTACTATCAGAAAAAACATCAATATGTAATGTTTCCTTAATCACATGATCCCACAGTTCACAGTGCGTCTGATAGGGGCAGGCTGGGAGGCACCTCTGCTGAGCAAAGAGCGCAGTGTTTGCGGGGAGCCGAGGAGCGCGAGCGTCTGGCGCAGCGCAAGTGCTCACCGTGTGCGGGGTGCTTAAAAAAAGAGTAGCAGAGACAATTTGTTTAAATTAATTGTAAGGCCAAGAAAGGAGATTTCAGTTTGATCAACAGAGGGTGCCCCCCCCCAAACCAAAAAAAAAAATAAAGTAAATAAATAAAATAATGATAATAATAATAATGTATAATTTCAATAAATTGATTAATGGAAAATAGTAAAGAAAACACTGATGATTAGGACTTTTGATATCAATTGTGCATTTTTAAAAGAAGTAAGTGCTCAAATGAACGTGTAACGTACATAAATTAGACAAAACACTTAATAAGAGACTAGACATAAAGGTATCAGAATCTCCTCCGAGCACAGCCGAGCATTAATTACAGCTTTGGAAGTAACTCCCTCGCGCTGCCAGTAATTACGCCGTGGGCATTCAGGGCACAGACCGTGATCACAAGAAACCGCCAATAGATTTTTAGAAAATAGATTCTTCATGTGAACGAACCCTTCTAGTGATTTGAACTATAAGATCACTTTCAAGTCTTTTCACAATCAATATCTGCTGTTTTTTTTTTTTGTTTTTTTTTTTTGTGAGTTACTGGGGGGGATGCCACTACACACACTTGAAATTAAGCACAGAACACATAAGCCATAACCTATAAGCATATATACTGAAGCATCTAAAATATTTTCATCATAAGAATCTCTCAAATTATTTTTTTTTAATGTAAAAACTTGATATTGGCATTTTACATGATAGCATTTTCTATACCATGAAGTTGGCAAAAAGTAATAGCTGGATCAATCCAATTCTGGGGAAGATTCTCCCTCAGTGCAATAACTTTGAATGGCTTAAATGTCTGACATGCCTCTTGCATTGAGCTGCTTGGGGGAAATTCACTGAACTCCAGCCACTCAAGGAGACATGCCAAACTATCAAGCTGAGTACAGTGAATGCATTTCAGCAAGAATCTACCAAAGAGTTGAGTAAAAAACAAGTTCTGGAATACCATGTCAATTTCAAAGCAGCCCAAATCTGTTGCAAGCATAAAGGCTAAATTAAGACTTTCAAAGATCATCTTATAGCAATAAAGCATATAGAAATACAGATTCTAGTAGTAGTAGTAGTAGTAGTAGTAGTAGTAGTAGTAGTAGTAGTACGAGCTGCATTTCTATAGTTAAAGGACAATAATCATATAAAAATCTATTTCTCGAATTCTGAAGATCCAGCACTTAATCTATACACTACAGTTATGTTTTAATCGATCCCCGTAATTTAAAAATTATAAAAACAATCTATTAGTAGACAAAAAGCGTTTTAGTAAACCTCACCTCAATATGCACAAGAAGTTATATATCTCATTATAACTTCTTGATATGCATAAACGTAGCAACAGGTCTGGGTCACGTGGTACTGTGACGACAATCACGATAAAGGTCTATGAGACTCAACTGAGCTGCATGGTGCATACAGACGGAGAAGTTAAAGGAAAGTTGTGTTGAACGGAATTGAGGAATTTTCGTTATGCCTCGGTGTGTTGCCGTGGGATTCACCAAAATTGCAGCTCTCTTTGACAATCTTTCTTTGTCTGTGAGGGTCTTCCGTGACTTACTAACTTCGGTGACAATAGTTGCGATGCTCTAGATCATGGTCACCTCAGGTGGTTTACAATGTAGATCATATCAAGAGGTGGTAGTCTTTCAGATTAACTGTCATCAGTTGGCAAACTTACTGATTGCTGATGCATTTTAAATGCATTGTAGTTGACCAAAAGCTCGTTTACAACAAACCTGTTAATTATGCACCGCTGCAATTCCCAAGCCAGGTAATAACAGGTATGAAACTCGTCTTGGTGGGCTTTCATATTTTTCAATATATCTCATTTATTTCATGGGGTTATTTTATTGGTATTTGTAAATGACGTTAAATATCAATACTTAAACAATTAAGTTCAAACACGGTCGCGAACATTAATAAAAGAAATTGCTCTCAGGGTATCTTGAAGCT